ACCTAGACAGCATATTAAAAAGCAGAGACATCACTTTGCAGACAAACATCCATCTACTCAAAGCTATAGTTTTTCCAGTACTCATGTATGGATGTGAGAGTCGAACCATAAAGAAGGCTGAGCGCTGAAGAACTGATGCTTTTGAACTGTGGTGCTAGAGAAGACTCCTGAGAGTCCCTTGGTCTGCAAAGAGATCAAACCAGTCAATCCTAAAGGAAATCAACCCAGAATATTCATTGGAAGGACTGATGCTGAAGCTAAAGTTCCAATACTTTGGCCACCTGATGTGAAAAGCCAACTTACTGGAAAAGGCCCTGATGCTGGGAAAGATTGAGGGCAAGAGGAGAAGTGGGTAACAGAGGATGAGATGGTTGAATGGCATCACTGACTCAATGAACACGAGTCTGAGAATACTCCAGGAGACACTGAAGGACAAGCATGCCTCGTGTACTGTAGTTCATGGAGTCGCAAAGAGCTGGACATGACTAAGTGACTGAACAACAACAGATTTGGACACCAGTTTCCATGTTGAGCTGCACTTTGGAAAGCAACATTTGGTTCCACCCGAAGGTGGACAGTGGGACTCAGAGACCACTTACAGTAATGACCTCCATATAAGATAACATACAGTATGTGGGAAACGGAAGGTTCTGCTGAGAAAGAAATCCATAATGAGACAGTCGTTCTATCATTGATGGGTATTGTAACAATAATACCTTCTGTAAGAATGACACAGGCGTTTGGTGCAATCACAGTAGAGTCAGGAAACAGTAATTAAAAAAAAACAAAATGTATAGTAACACTGATGTAGACAACTATATGTACAGGAACTCATTCCTCCCCACCCCTCCTCATCCCACTCTCTTGTAGAAGTTGAGAACAGCTGGTCTGAGGACAAATGGAAGGAAAAAATCTGAACTCATCCAGCAGGTCTTGCCAAAGAGTGCTAAAGAATTCCACTGAGTACAGACAATGATAGACAAGGGAGGAGCAAGAATAGTGCAACGTTTCCCAGACAGACTATGCAAACACTGTGAAGGAATCAGTGGGCTTTCTTGTCTTTTCCAGTCCACGGGATATTCTAATTAAAGAGAAGGCCACATTGTAGACCAGAAACCAAAGCTAATCTTAACCAACTTTTTTTTTTTTAATGTGAATCACTTAATTTGTAAAAAGCAAAAGTTTGTGACCCCTCTGGACCACTTCTGCACCTGCCCACATCTTAAAAGATGGCCCCTCTGAGTTTCCATGTTACAGAACACAGTGCTTCCTTGCCAGTGACTTGGATGCACCACAGTCACTTTCCTTTGGCATCCCACCCAAACTTTGTTTCCAATCCTTTAAACTTACAAACAAATAACAACAAAAAAATACACCTCCATGGCAAGGACACATAGATAACACACACATATGTATGTATGCATATATATGTAAAGTACATTCCAGTTTGTGACTAGCCTATTCATTTTTATAAAGGTACCTTCTGATGAACAGAAATTTTAATTTTCATAACATCTCTTTAACCAAATTTTTTTTTCTTTTATGGTTGTGGCATCCTATGTCCTATCTAAGAAATTTTTGTTGCCTACCTGAAAGTCACAAATATTCTATGAGTTTGTCTAAAAGGCCTTTTGGTTTTCACTTTTACATTAAGGCCTATGATCCATCTCAAATTAATTTTTTGATTTGGGTGAGACAAGAGTTGAAGTTCATTTTTTTCCCCTCTATATGAATAGCCAATAGTCCCAGCATCGTTTGTTGAAAACATTTCCCAATCCTCATTGAACTGACTTTGTGCCTTGGTTGAAAATCAATTGATTAAATAAGTATGGGCCAATTTCTGTATTACATTGCATTCCATTGATCTATTTGTGTGAAGTGAAGTGAAGTCGCTCAATCGTGTCCGACTCTTTGCAACCCCATGGACTGTAGCCTACCAGGCTCCTCAGTACATGGAATTTTCCAGGCAAGAGTACTGGAGTGGGTTGCCATTTCCTTCTCCAGGGGACCTTCCCAACCCAAGGATCGAACCTGGGTCTCCCGAGTTGCGGACAGACGCTTTACCGTCTAAGCCACCAGGGAAGCTGTAAAATCACACAGTACTGATTAATGCAGTTTTAATCTTGGAGCTTTGCAGGTGGTGCTAGTGGTAAAGAACTTGCCTGCCAATGTAGGAGACATAAGAGACTCGGGTTCGATTGCTAACTAGTTCAGTTCAGTCGCGTCTGACTCTTTGCAACACCATGAATCGCAATACGCCAGGCCTTCCTGTCCATCACCAACTCCCGGAGTTTACTCAAACTCATGTCCATCGAGTCAGTGATGCCATCCAACCATCTCATCCTCTGTCGTCCCCTTCTCCTCCTGCCCCCAATCCCTCCCAGCATCAGAGTCTTTTCCAATGAGTCAACTCTTCACATGAGGTGGCCAAAGTTATTCTGCTTCTGAAGACAAGCAGTAGTAATGGAGGCATGATAACATGAATATCCCTGAATTGTACACTATATGTGGTTAAAATGGTAAATTTTATGTTACATGTATTTAACTCGAAGAAACAAAAAAGAAATCTTTCCCAGAAACAACATAGCCTCCTGTATTTTTTTCTAAATATTTTTCAGGTGTGTTTTTCACACTTAGGTCTTCAGTCCATTTGGAAATTAATGTTGTAAATGATGTGAAGTAGGAATCCAATTTTGTCTTCAATCTATATGGATACCACATAGCTCAGCAACATTTACTGAATACACTGTGCTTTTATACTACTATTTGGTGGTATACTTCCATATGTATATGAGCATGTTTCTAAGCTCTCTCTTCTGTTCCATGGGTTTACTTTCCTGTCCCTAAATCAAGACCAGTAATTAAGCCAGGAGTCTTGATTACTATGGCTTTATATTGTTTTGATACCTAGAAGGCAGAGACTTTTTCTTCAAAATTGAGTTAGGAATTCCGGGTGCTCTGTCTTTTCATAGACATGTTAGGTTCAACATATCAGGCTCCATGAAAAATCATATTCCAATTTTAATTAGAATTTCAACAAATCTGTAGATTTGGAGAAAATGGACATCTTTATGATGCTGAGTCTTCCTATCCCATGAATATGGTGAGTGATAGTCACTCAGTTGTGTCTGACTCTTTGCAACCCCATGGACTGTAGCCCGCCAAGCTCCTTTGTCCATAGAATTCTCCAGGCCAAGAATACTGGAATGGGTTGCCATTTCCTTCTCCAGTGAATATGGTATATAGCTGCATTTACTTGGGTCTTCTTTTATGTGTTTCAATAGAGCATTATAATTTTCTCCTTAAAGGATGATGCACCTTTAGTTTGATCTATTTCTAGATACCTTCAGTTTTCAATACTGTTATGAATAGCATCTTTTTATTATTAAAATTCCCAGTTATTGTGGGTGTATAGAAGTTACTCTTTTATTCAGAAATCTGTTTGAACTGAAGGCCATTTTTGATGACCTCTTAACAAAAGAAGCCCTTCCAGTCCATCTTTATCACATCATATCAGTTAACTTTCTAGTTATCTGATTTTTAGTGTCCTTTTCCCTGCCTGTAATTAGTTGCTAGCTCACCACTGTAAGTTCAATGTCTAGAATAGGGTCTGACATATACCGCACAAAATGTTTATTAAGTAAAAAAATGGAGATTTTAAATCTGGATGATTTGGAAAAACATGGAAAGAAAAGCAGATTTTGAAGTGAAGGTGAAGTGAGATCTAATTCAGGTTGGGAGGCATTCTTTAGAGTTCTCACAGGTCATTAATGTGCAGGCATCTGACCACCACCTGGAGCACAAGAATGGAGGTTTGATGTGATGGAACCGATGAGACAGTGAAAGAGGAGAATGCATTCAAGAAGGAAAAAAAAAGAGAGAGAATATATCTAGGAACAAATAGACTTGGAGCAGATTAGAGAGAGGGAAGGAGCGAGCATGCGCAACAGCATGGCCACCAACCGGACGGGAAAGACTTGAAGCAAAGAAAGAGGGAAATAAATGAAAGAGCTAGGTTCCTAAATCACACGAACACACAATTGGAGAAGTACGATTTCACCTAAGTAACAGAAATCAAGAAACCTCATTTCTCGACTGGTAAAAAAAACAATTAGAGAAAGAGAGCTCCAATACTCTCTTTGCGACCCCATGGACTGCAGCACGCCAGGCTCTGTCTTCCACTGTCTCCTGGAGTTTGCTCAAGTTCATATCCATTAGGTCGGGTGATGCTATCTAACCATCTCATCCTCTGATCCCCTTCTCCTCCTGCCCCCAGTCTTTCCCAGCATCAGGATCTTTTCCAGTGAGTGGACTCTTCGCATCAGGTGGCCAGAATATTACACTACAGATCCGAATCTGGGGAAGGAAGTAATTTTAGAACTCTCTGGGTCTTCCCTCCGGGCTCGGAGGACCCATCAGCATTCAATCTTATTCATCCTTTCGCGTGACAGCTATAGAAGCTGTGGTCTGAAAGGTTCCGATCTGAACTGCGGAGACTTGTTTCCTCCTCATTTTCACCATCCTTCCTGTGGCCGACAGTACCGGCAGGTGCTCTCGGCGGCCGGGGCCTGGAATTAAGATGAGGGTGGCGACCGGGAGAGAAGAGCCGGGCTGCAGAGGCGGGGAGATAGGCCCTCACCTGACGCCCAGCGCCAGGTCAGCGGGTCAGCCAGGGGCCGCGCGCCCTCGCTGGGGCGCCCCGGCAGCGCCGCGTCGCCGCCCGCCCCATGGCCCGCAGTGCCCGGCTTCGCCAAGGCCCGCATCCGCCCCCGACCCACGAGCCCAACCTGCCCTTCCTTACCTGCCGGCGCGCGGAGGCGGCCACAGCCCTCTGGCTGCTCAAGCAGAAGCGAGTCCGCGGGGAGCCCACCCGGACCCACAGCTCCCAGTCCCCGCCCCTCCACCGGCGGCGGGCAGCACGTGACCTCGCCCTCACCTCGCCCCGCCCCGCCCAGAAGCCCCGCCCACGTCCCGCCTCCCCGCCGGCACGCCTCACCCGCGAGGCCGTCGCGGTCGCGATGACGTAGCAGGCGCATGCGCACTCTGTCGTCGGTGCTGAGGCGCTGAGGGGTCCGTGGGTGGAAGGTGCGTGGCGTCGGTTCTCGGAGCCATAGGGGAGCCTGGGGTCCGTGGAAGCTCTGTGGGTTTCCAAGGAAAAAAGAGGAGAGGGGAAAGTCCCAGAAACCTGTCTTTCAGGTTGCGAGGATACAGGATTCTGTCCTGTCTCTTTCTGACGAGGCCGGGCGGCTGCCCCGCGGCAGTTGAAGTGTGCATTTCTTTTGCGGGTCATTGCCCAGCGCCCAGGTGTGGAAGTTTAATAAGAGTTAATTTGGCGTGCGCTGAATGGGTTCCTTGCCTTCAAGCACACGTCAGTGGGGTACACATTTTATTTGGTAAAGTAACACAAGATCCGGAGACACAGATTGTTCTTTTTCTGCAGGTAGATGCGACTTAAATCTCTTTGCTCCTTCTCATCTGTAAAACGAGATGGTCGGAGCCCCATATAATTTTTAAAACCCCTTGCGAAGCTACCGTTCTGTGACTCCTGTCTCCGAGAATTTTACCTTTTATCATATTTCCGGGTAGGGAAAAGAAATCTTTTGAATTATGACCGTGTTTGAAACCTGGATTGGCCACATTGCTGTGGAATTAGGCCCCATTAGGCTTTCATTAGGATTGACTGGGGGTGGGATTTGTTTGCAAATAAGATTTGTGCATTGTTACTATCCCAGATAGACTCGTTTGAATTTTGTTAAAAGATCAGAATGTCAGGATGTTTTCCTAATGTTAGCTCTATGTCTTTCATAGACTTATATGTTTAGTCTTGGCATTTAATTTTTTGCCTTTGTTCAGAAGTAAATCACCAAAGGATATTGAAGTTAATGCCTTTGTATTTTGTCACCTTAGGCTTTTGTTAGCATTTTTAGAGTCATCAGCACCTTCTGACTGGGAAAAGATGGTCAACGTCTTGAAAGGAGTGCTTATAGAATGGTTAGTAGTTTTGATACTTATTAAGTTTTAAATCTGAACATTGAGTCTTTTTGTTTGTTTTGCACATTGAATCTTGATTTGCATGTGTGCTGTTTCCAAAATCATTTAGTTGTTTTGTTCTTAAGATCTGAATGAATCAAGTCTTTGAGCTTTCTCAACTTCATTTTTCTCACTTAGTAACTAGTGGGACAAATTTTGTTGCTGAGTCTTTTCTTAGTGCCAGTTTTCAGCATCTCTGTTGAATTGATGTAATTGGCATTATTTCCAACAAGTTTTGGTCAGTGGCAGGTAGCATATTTGTTAAATTAATCCTCTTTAGGGGAACAGTGCTTGTATTTTCAAATCACCAGGGATTAACTAGAATTTTAGGGCCTGCCAAAGTCACACAAACTTTGGTCTTTAAAGAAGAGAAAAAAACAAGAGAGCCATTTGAAGTTTTCTTAAACTAGGCACACATTCCAAAGGAGAAACTAAAAGCTATGGGCAGAGTTAGCTCCTTAAAGCTAAAGTAGGGCTTTTCATGAAGATGGCGCCGAAGGCGAAAAAGGAAGCCCCTGCCCCTCCTAAAGCTGAAGCCAAAGCAAAGGCTTTGAAGGCCAAGAAAGCAGTGTTGAAAGGTGTCCACAGCCACAAGAAAAAGAAGATCCGGACGTCACCCACCTTCCGGCGGCCCAAAACACTGCGGCTCAGGAGGCAGCCCAAATATCCTCGGAAGAGCGCCCCTAGGAGAAACAAACTTGACCACTATGCCATCATCAAATTCCCCCTCACCACCGAGTCAGCCATGAAGAAAATAGAAGACAACAACACACTGGTATTCATTGTGGATGTCAAGGCCAACAAGCACCAAATTAAACAGGCTGTGAAGAAGCTCTATGACATTGACGTGGCTAAGGTCAATACTCTGATAAGGCCTGATGGAGAGAAGAAGGCATATGTTCGACTGGCTCCTGACTATGATGCTTCGGATGTTGCCAACAAAATTGGGATCATCTAAACTGAGTCCAGCTGGCTAATTCCAAATATAAAAGTTTTCACTATGTTAAAAAAAAAAAAAAAAAAAAGCTAAAGTAGGGCTCAATTATCCCCAGTTTGAAAATCTGGGGACCAGTCTTGCTCAGTCTCTGCTTTTTTTGCCCCACCAAATAGTTCTGTTTCATCTGGGAATCCTGCCCTGATTGTCTGAAAATACTACTGTCTACATTTCTTTACCTCTAATGTGAGCCTTCATATGAATGATGATACTGTTTCTATGGTGGCACCGTTCAGGGAGGAGCAAGACCAAACCCTCGGATACTCTTGACATTTCAAGCAGCACCATCCAGTAGAAATATAACATGAGTCACATATTTAGTCTTAAGGTTTCTAGTAGCCACACTGAAAAGTAAAATTAAACAGGTGAAATTTATTTAACTCAGTATACCTGAAGTATTTCACCAGGTACAAAATCCTCAAATTTCACACTGACACTTCAGAATGGTATCAAGTCTTTTTCCATACTAGAGCTTCAAGATCCAGTGTCTCCAGCTCCCACTGGTTTGCTTGTGATCAGCCTCGAAATTGTTCCTGGGCACTAGTGGCCTTCTGTCACCTTGTTTTTCCATGTATTGCCCAGACTAGCAGCACCAGCACCATCTGGAGCTTGTTAGAAATGAAAATTTTCAGACCTCACCCCAAATCTACTAAGTCAGAATTGTGCATACAAAAGGATTTTAACACAGTGCTCTTAATCAGCCGAAGTTTGGTAATCAGTTTCACAGTGAAGAATTGGTTTGCACCAAGACTAGATTTTATTTTTCAGATGGATGCTATTCCACGCCAGGGGCTTCCCTGATGGCTCAGTGGTAAAAAACCCACCTGCAAGTATGGGAGACCCAACAGACCCAGGTTCAATCCCTGGGTCAAGAAGATCCTCTGGCAACTCACTCCAATATTCTTGCCTGAAAAATTCCATGGACAAGGGGTCAGAAGAGTCAGACACAACTTAGTGACTAGGCAACAACAACTATCCTTGCAAAACTTAATTTTTCCTTTCAAGGTGAAACGTAAAGTGTAGCCTGAACGATTTTTCAAAAGGGCAGCTGTCTTCCCAAAGATCCAGATCTTCCAAGAAGACTCCAGGCCTAAGCAATAATAGAGTCATAAAGGGCATGGCCAGGGCCAGTGGCCCTTCCTTCATGAGTGGGTGCACCTGTTGGGATGGTGGTACCCGAAAGAGTCCTTCAGTCCCCTCATGTCTATACTTGATGCCAAAGGGAAGACTGTTCATAATACAACAGCAGCTGTATACTTCTGTTTATCATCTCATAATATTCATAGATGTATGAAGCACTTAGGTGAATTGGAGTACAGATCTACATTAAAAAAATAAATAGTGTATAACATTGACCATTTAGTCCCAACTGTCAGTGAATTGAAAAATTGAAAAGTACATGAATATCATAAGATTCTTTCTTCCCAACGCTTATCAAATACCAGAGTCTAAAGATTTTCATATTTTTTTGTCAAAATGAGGTTGGTGAAAACTTCCTGTTTGTTGGGATCCACCTTTGTCGTTGACTGCCAGCCTCACACCAAGAGTTTCCCAAATGGAGCCAACCACAGCAGTTACTGAAGCAAGCCGCATATGCTCAGCTCATGTTTGCGTCTGATTGCAGGTGCTCGAGCAGACCTCTGGTGTGATACTTAATCGCAGTTGGTTTGGCAAGTGCTTCAGCAAGGAAGATTTGTAGTACAGGTGCAGATTCCAGCCAGTTCACAGCACGAGAGCAAAGAATCTGGAGAAGTAGGTAGTATTAGACCAGTCTTGTCCTTACACTTTTGGCTTCCAAACCTACATTCTATATGAAAAGCAAATCAGAACTAAGGTCAAACCAGTCTAACCACTGTCCTATTCTTTCACGGTATTTATAATGTCTTTTGTGAGCCTTTGCTTTCTATTCTTAGCAAGGCCACGTTCACTGAAGTTTCTTGGGCACCCAGAACAATGCCTGAGATATATATAGAGAGAGCTACTTAGTAAATATTTGTTTACTGAAAGAATTTTGGTAATAAAATTGAATCAAGGGGTATAATCTCACTTTAAATTCCAGATTATTAGTGTTCCTTTAGAGCTTCTCTACTACTACAGTGAGAACTAGAGTGGGTCTTGATAGGTTGAATTCAAGTTTCATTACAGAAAAGGTTTGTACAATAGACCTCCTTTTTGGTAAGTTACATCAGAGTAGTTTTTGGTTTTTTTTAACTGGAGTACAGTTGATTTAAAATGTTAATTCTGGGTTTACTGCAGAGTGATTTAGTTATATACAAAAATATTTTTTCTATGACCATCTTAATTCATCAGAGGAAAACAAAACATGATGACTGGTGATTTTGTACTAGGTCTGAAGTTAAGCTGAAATGTTAATTTGATTTACAGGCAATTGAAAAAAAACACTTGAGTAATACATAATGCATATGTAATAGGAGATGGCTAAAATGGCAAGGGTAGTCTGCAAATGGCAAAAATTTTGAAAACACTGACCTGTTGGTTAAAAGCACAGATGTGAGTCACCTGGCACTTCAGTTTGTTCAACTTTTATTTAATGGAAAGTATGTAGATGTATTTTATTTATAAAATTTCTGGACATGAAAGTCTTCACAACCCCTTAACCCTTGCTGTCTCTAATCCCAGTAGCAGTTACTAGTCAATTGTGTGTAGTCTGTGAGTGCACTGCACTCAAAACAGTAACAAGATAACGTATCAATTCAGACAGCAGTATTTGTAATGTCCTTATTTCTCCTCATTGTTCCATTTAGACCCACAGATTATTTTAAAGGGCTAACAAAAAACTATTGCTTGCCCTGTCACCTAAAGTGTATCTTTTTAGGAAGCCTCTGAATGTGCGCTTTTTGTAGAAGATACTGAGATTCTTCTGGGGTCTAAGGCAGTTCAGGACAGGAAAGGCCGTGAGGGTGAAGTGGGCATCAGGGTCACCACGAGAGAGACAGAGGCACGTCCCTCCTCGCAGGGATGGGAGGGAACAGCCTGGGTGTAGAGCGCTGAAGCCACGGGGTGGTTTCTGTCTCCCCACACCTGTCTCCTCTTCCTTTCTCCACCTCTTCCCACCCACCCTCCTTTTACATTATAGGCTTGGAGCAGTTGAGACAGCAGCTGAGGTTTCAAAAAGGGTCTGAGCAGGAAGACAGAAGTTGTAGAGAAGCTGAAGCTTTGTTTCCCCGTCCTGTGGGCCTTCCCATTTTCATTTCTGTAAGATCTGAAAGAATCCTGTTCAGCCTACTTCATTACTGCCAGATTCTTTCTAGAATTACTCTTGAAACTCTCTTTTTTTAATATTTCACAGACTGGGTATCAATAATTGGTATGATTGTTTACTTCAGTGATATTTTTCAACATACAGGGTGGTGTTGCTTTACAAAAATTTCTTACTTAAAATTTTTATTCTGTGTAACTGCCAAAGTTAGGGGGTCACTGCAAGTGTAAATTAACATCCTCACTATCTGCTTAAATCTGTGACCATCACATTGCCTCTCTTTGTATTTTTAGAAGACCCCTGTTGTCTTTCCCATCCTGCACAGGCAGTGATGGGACCAGATGCCGTGATCTTAGTGGTCTGAACGTTGAGTTTTAAGCCAACTTTTTCACTCTCCTCTTTCATGTCATTATCAGCCTTGAGACTCTCATTCCTAGGCCCTCAGTCACCCAAAACGCCACCGATTTCCAGGTCATCCTTCATTCATTTTACATTCACTACCTTATGGCTCTGTTCATCAGCACTTAAATTCTACCTCCCTCTTGCCCCCGCCCCATCCTTTCCACTTTGGCCTCTAGAACCTAGTGAGAGCAGGAACCCCCTGGATCCCTGCTTCTTCTCTCAACTTTCCATCCTTCTTCCCCCCCCCCCAATTCCCTTTTTTTTGTTGTTATTATAATAAAAATCTAGCTTTCCCCTGAGCCCACTCTGTTGACTTTTTTCTCTAATATCTCTTGTACCTTTGGGCCAAGAAATGGGATGGGTATCTACCTTCTTTCTCATTGCCACCTCCAGAAATCCTCCCTCCCCCCTCCAGAAAACCCCCAGTTCCACATCTGATGAGCCCACCCAGTAATCCTCCCTTGTAATCATCCACAAACGCCCAAGTCTTTCCTTGAAGGTTCTTCTTTGAAGGCAGCCTGTCGCTCTTCCGGAGGGCTCCACAGACTCTTCAGTGATCTCACGTGTGCAGTCCCTTCAGTCCCCCGATGACCTCTCAGCTCCCTGACCCCCTTTTCCAGTGAGCTCGCCTTGTCCTGCTGTCGCCATTCATTTGCACTGTCACACCTACCAATATTGCGGTCTCTTCAAAACCTCTGTTTCAGGCACCTGCCTCAGACCACTACCTCCTCTTTCCAGTTCATGCCCTCTAATGCCCTGGGTCTATAGTTCCTTTTGGAGAAGGAAATGGAAGCCCACTCCAGTGTTCTTGCCTGGAGAATCCCATGGGCAGAGGAGCCTGGTGGGCTACAGTGCATGGGGCTGCGGAGTCGGACACGACTGAGCAGCTAACACACACAGCTCCTTTGGACCTCCCTGGCAGCTGCTTTGATCCTCCCAGGCCCGCAGTCTGTTGACCCCCCGCTCCTCCCTGTCCTGCACGGGCCCCGCAGCCTCGCTTCCATCACTTCACTCGTCCTCTTAAAGACCCTCAGCTCCCCTGGCCCTGTCTCGGTCACATTCACCAGGTCCGGTTCAGTCCAGCTCTCCCCCTGTTGGGAACCTTTACTTCCACAACGCTAGATGGCTGGAGAGCATACTGATCGGTCTCACTTCAAATTCATGACTGTTATTAAACTCATGACTTAGATAAATGTAGCCTGCAAATTCCTAAGTTCATTTGTTCTCCCAGTTTCCTAGTCAAGCTGTTATATTTCATCAGATTAAGAGTCCATCAGTTTTAAAATTTAGCAACATGTTATGTCTCTTTTAAAAATGACATGCCATTAAATTAAGATCCATCCCAGTTTGGGAGATAATTAAAATCTTCCTGGAATGAATGAAATGTGGTATTTCACCTTCTCTTATCACACAAACTGCCCCTGTCCTCACCTCAGTTGGTCACTTTGTTTCTTGTTTCACTGAGAAAATGGAAGCAGTCAGAGCATCCAGGAGGCTTTATCACATGAACCTGGGCCCATACACTCTTCCCGCCCCCACGCTAACTGTGAATGACTTGTCTCTTCTCCCGTCTCCAGCCAGCCTCCCTCCTTGGGAACTGGATCCCAGCCTCCCTGCCCTATTTAAAGACACCTCTGCCACAGTTTTCCTCTTTTTGTCCTGCTTTCTCAACTTTTCTTTCTCTACTGCCTTATAATGCTGCCCCCGACCTGGGTCGGTGGAGGGTGTGGAACACACTCTCTTGCTTCTTGCATCCTTCTCCAACTCCCACTTGATTTTCCTGCAGTTTGTAGCAGAATTTCTCAGAAGATAACATCTCTGTTCCCTTTTTTCTGATTTCTGTCCTCTCAATCTAAAAACCACTCCAGTCACATTCTCTCCTGTGTTGTCATAGTCTTGAAACTGCTCTTGTGAAGGTCCATTAACTTTCTGAATCCAGTGGTCAGTTCTTAGTCCTTATCTTGTTATTCCTGTTAACAGCATTTGACCTAGTTGATCGTCCTCTTCCTGGATATCCTTTGCTACCATAGCTTCCAAGTACCCTTCAGGTTTTCTTCCAACCTCAGTGGTCACTTTATAGTCTGTTTTGCTGGCTTCTCCTTTCCTTCCTAACCTTTTGCAGTTGGGGTGTCCAAGGTTTGCTGCCTGGACTTTCCTCTCTAGCTCTGCTCACTCCTTGGTCGTGTCTCTAAATGCCATCTAGACAGTGTTGACTAACTCCTCATTCTCGACTTCACTGCTGAAATCCAGAATTGTATATCCAGCTTCCTGCTCAGCCACTTCATGCAGGTGACATCTCAAAGGTAATATGCCTGAAACTGGACTCCTTATCTTAACTGTGCACCTGTCCTTCTGTGTTCCTCCTCATCTCAGTGCAAGGCGGCTCCATCTCTCCATGATCTCAGGCCAAAAGTCTTGGCATCTCCTTAATTTCTCTCAAAGCTCGAGTCCAGTCTCAGCAAGTTACATTGGCTTTACATTCAGCCTATGTCTAGCACTCAGCCACTGCCCAACCTCACTTTTACCACTGAGGTCCAGATTGTTGTGTCTTGTCTGGATTACCACAGTCACCTTCTAATGGGTCTCCCTCTTTCCAGCCTTGCCTCCACCATCCACCAGTCTTTTCTCAGCCCTGCAGTCAGTATGATCCTTAACATTTAAAAGTCAAATCAGTTTGTAAGTTAAATCAGGATGAAACTCTGACCTCATCTTGTGCTGCTCCACCCCACCGGTTGCCCCCCTCCAGCCCTGTGGCCTTGCTGTTCACTCTGCCTGGGCAGTTTTGCGTCGCATCACCCCATGGTTCGCTCCCTGCCTCCTCCTGACATTTGTTCAGATACCACCTGCTCAGTAAAGCCTTCCCTGAGGCCCCTACTTAAACTTCCAAGATCACGTCACTGTCGTCTCTGCCATTTCTTATTCTGTTTCCTTGCTTTTTGTGTGTTTGTCATAGTGTTACCACTAGACTGTAAGCTCCACGATAGAAAGGGTTCTGAATTATTGTTTGTTTCACTGTTGGATCCCCCAGACCACAATAGCACTGGACACATGTTAGGTACTCAGTAAGTTTTTACTGAATGAGGGAATAAAACTTAAAATAGTGTATTTACTACTTCTGAGCAAATCAATATCCTACATTAGTATGGTCATTCTGATACTGCAGCTATAGAATTTAACTGAATTTTGCCAAACAAGTGGATAAATATAACTTAAGTATTCTGAACCTAAGGTAACAAACATACTAGGAGCTAAATTTAAATTCTGCATCATTTCTGACATGGGCAGACATGCTTATTTTTTCACATCATTTTAGAGCATAGTAAATTGTTAATAAAATTATTTTTGAAGGTAAGTTGTTGAAAGTAATTAAGACAGTCATTTTTTCAGGAAGACTTGACTTTATTCATAGTTAATATGCCTTGCACCATACTCATTTAGTAATTGAAATCCATTACTTGTTAGCTTCACATATACCTATTTTGTACTTAAAAGCGATACGATATATATGGTTTTCAGTAAATTACACTGACCTCTTTGAATTAAATAGTCATTTTTGTAATTGATGTTGACATCCCTCAAAAAAACCGAAAGATTATGTGAAATTATGTTTTCTCTAAGACTGTGTTTTCTCTAAGAATTAAAAAAAATTTGTATGTAACTTGACATATTTATATATTCATCTTTTGCTAAACACTTTATTGTATATTATATTATGTCCTTTGTTGTGATTCAGGTTTTTATAAAAAACAATTCTATAAATTCAGAAAATTTTCTCTCTTTGCTTTATGGCTATCCTGTTTATTCCAAGCTAAAAATCACCAATAGAGTTGAATTTAGCTCTTTTTTTGAGCTCAGTATGCTCAAAGAGATTTGGTTAGAATTTCCTTTAAAGATTCTAAATGGTAGTTCAGACTTACGAGGTTCAGAATTAAAGAAGGGAAAAATACTTGAATATTTTTACCAGCCATACATTGTCTTTGACATTTTTAAAATCAGTCAACAGGGCCATGCTTTGGGTCCCTGTTAACCCAAACCCAGAGCTGTGACTGTTGCTTTTACTTTTTGCTTCACTTGTCACTGACAAATGATTATTTAAAATCTCATCGTCAGCCTCTTCTAAACTTCCACTAACTGTTCTCAATGAAGCTGCATCTGTGAATCGTCAACCCTTGGGGCAGAGAAGAGAAGGGAAGGGTTGGGGAACACTTTACAACTTTTAAAATCATCCTCAATCACTCTGTGCTCAGTTTTCATTTCTGGCGTACCTAGACAGCAGGATGTCCCCTTGTCACATGTTTCATCTCTCAGTGACCCTGCCACGAAGCAGTTCCCGCTGTCCTTGTCTCCTCATCACGTGTTTTCTCTCGACAGTGACCCTGCCATGAAGCAGTTCCTGCTGTACTTGGACGAGTCAAATGCCCTCGGGAAGAAGTTCATCATTCAGGACATAGACGACACGCATGTCTTCGTGATCGCAGAGTTGGTCAGTGTCCTCCAGGAGCGAGTAGGCGAGTTGATGGACCAGAATGCCTTTTCTCTTACCCAGAAGTGAAAATATTAGATGCTGACCCCTCGGGAATTAAAAGTAACGAGTGCGAGAGGCTGTCGCCTTTCACTGTCTTACGTGACCGCTTTGGTTTGCAGAATTGCTTAGAAGCATTTCATGGGGAAGACGGGAGTACCGTTTGTTCATAAAAAAGCCCCTGAACTGACTTTCTTGTGCTGTCCCCCCCTCCAGTGTATATACCCTAGAAGTTAAAAAAAATTTTAATTGGCTTTTATTTACGTTTATTAAAACATAAATGTAATTGGTTTTCCTACCTTTTAATGCCAATCTATTTCATTAAGAATATAATGAAATATGCTTTTAAATCATCAATCTAATAATCTAGATACTAATTTTTGCTTGTTCCTATTAGTAATTGGGGGTTTGATAGAGTAGGTATGGTTTGCTTTGTTTCAACTAGATCAATGTGCCAAGGTGGGAACTTTGGTAATATCTGTGCTTTCAAATAATATCTGCATACCAGCCAGCTCTATTGGTGAAGAAGATGTGGAAGAGAACCATATAACATTACCCAAAAATTCAGTTTTCAGAAGCACCGAGGATTAGAAACAAGCAAATGGAAAAGGTGTGTGCTGCTTTGCAGCTTTCATCATTCCTTATTCAGACTTTGTCACATTTTCTTATTAAGGCAAGTGCTCTTCTATTAAGAAGTCAGTTTTACTTGGGACTTATTCTCTATGACAATCCCTGTTTAAATTTATCTCAAAAAGCAAGGTAGGAACAGACAGAAGCAAAGTCAGTCTTGGTGGAGGTGGCATGATAAGATTTAATTTTTGTTGCATCTAGTTCTGTGGTTGATGGAGGCAGAAACAAGGACCCTGATGGAGGCTTTGCTTCCCTTCCTGAAGATGGTGTTGCCAGGATGGGTTCATATAGCAGGAGTTTTCCAAGAGAAAAGGGAACTTTGAGGATGTTAGGTGGAATCTTCTCAAAGCCCACTTCACCTGCCTCCCTATGGTGTGTGTATTCACAGCATCTATGTACCAGAGTCACTTGCACATGCATTCCTAAACCTGGAAACTTCCATTGGCATATTTATCATGATTCCCACCCATATAACTCAAACCACCCAATTTTGATTTTCACATAACAGTGCAGTTTTGATGAGTTATTGGGCTCCCCTGATGGCTCAGATGGTAGAGTCTGCCCGCAATGCGGGAGACTTAGGTTTGATCCCTGGATTGGGAAGATCCATTGGAGAAGGGAACAGCTACCAACTCCAGTCCTCTGACCTGAAGAATTCCATGGATGGAGGACCCTGGCAGGCCACACAGTCTGTGGGGTTGCAGAGTCAGACATGATTGAGTGACTTTGACTTTTCCATTGCCACAACTTGTTGAATACAGTTCCTTTCTTTAGGATTTCCAGCTGTCCTGAAATGTTAATGCCTCTTGTATTTCAGGCATGTCTAAATCAATTTGCCTTAGGTTTTTTGTCCCTGTTAGCCTTTTAACATGAAAGTGAGAAAATTTTTTTAGACTATCAGAGTTTAAAAGGCACCAGAAAGACTATTGGACAGTGACCACAAAGAGTGTTAAGTGGAGGAAAATCTTTTATCTGTTTAAAAGTGGAGTTAGGGCAAATGCTCAGTATGTTTCTCCAGACAGCCTTAGAAAGATGGGACGGTGTAGTGCTGGGAGCGCCACACAGCAGCCACTGAGCTGACTTGTCCAACGGTGAGAGAAGCTAGGAGAGAACAGGAAGTATCCAGGCAACATCTTCCCCAGGCTCTGCTGCTTGGAATCTGGTTGAGATGATTCGATTTAGCACACTTCAGTTGTATAGAACAAGAGAGGTTGGCTGCTGGGTATGGGAGAAATTAAGTGCTGTCTTTTTAACAAAGTCCTAAATATGTAAAAAGGTAGTATTAACTTAAATTTTCCTAACTGCATAAAAAAGTCATATGTTAATTTATGGAAGACAGTTGACCAGTCACAAATACCAAAACTTGATTTTTAGAATTATGCTAAGTTCTTTAGAAAGTTCCTTTTTTAACACTATATAAGGTCAGAACTTCTGAATTCCTTGGAACCCCAATTTCCTTGTGAAATTTAGTGTGATTATTATAAAATTTCAAGCATCCTAAGTAGGCATAATGATTAACTTAAAAATGTTTGTTGAGAAATCAGTTCTGGTGAACACTAACTGATAATAGGCAACAAAGGTGCCAATCAAAATTATTAATGATTGTATTGTTCTTAACATTATCTATGGGGGGTTCCCACGGGGCGCCAGTGGCAAAGAATCTGCCTGCCAGTGCAGGAGACCCAGGAGACGGGTCAGTCTCTGGGCCAGGAAGGTCCCCTAGAGCAGGAAATGGCAACTCAACTCCAGCATGCTCTCCTGGAAAATCCCACGGGCAAAGGAGCCTGGAGGGCTACAATCCACGGGGTGGCAAAGGGTCAGACACAACTGAGTGAGCACAAAACAACAGCATTTATAATAGAGGCGATTTGACCTAATTGTGCACTTTTCTGGAAAGATGGTAAATAATGTGCTTACTCAATTTCATAGTTACACATTAAACCTCTCTTAGCTCCAGAGAAACTAAAAACTGACGCAACGCCTTCTGATTTTACTGGAATCATTCTCTCAACCACCTTTCCAGACAGGAAATGGGTAGGTTTTAAAGATGAGGAAACGATGCAGCCTGCAAATATGGCCAATTCATATTCTCAAGTATGCATAGCCCTGCTCCATTTGTAGCAGAGACAACATTAGAGGGTCTATTGGTGAGATTATTGAATATGCTTTTGGAAAACACGTTCTCCCTACAGAAGAGTGATGACAAGCCCGACTGGGTCCAGTCTGCCTGGGTCCAAACATCAGCTCCCTGCTTTCCAGCTCTGGGATCTCATACATGTCATTGAGTTTTTCTGTGCCTCTGAGCCCTCATCTGTGAAAACAGGAAAAGTTATCCTCGAAACTTGTTTAGATGATTATAAGTTAAAATACATAAAGCAGATGGTTCTGAAACTTAGTTACCTTGAATCTAGAAGGACAGAATGAAAAAGAGGGAAAAAAAGACATTTTAGCACACACACATACACGTTTTGTTTTGCATGATCTGCAGAACAAGCAGATGGGGGTGGTAGAGAATTCCTTGTGAAAGAACATTAAGTAGATAGTTTGTCTCTGGGCAACTTTGTCAGGAAATACCTGAATCCTTAACTTTTCTCAAACCATCCCTCTCTCCATTTTTTTAAAAAATTACTTTTTAATTGAAGGATAATTGCTTTACAGAATTTTGTTGTTTTCTGTCAAACCTCAACATGAGTCAGCCATGTGTGTGTGAAAGTTGCTCAGTCGTGTCCGACTCTGCAACCCCATGGACTATACAGTCCGTGGAATTCTCCAGGCCAGAATACTGGAGTGGGTAGCCTTTCCCTTCTCCAGGGTATCTTCCTAACCCAGGGATCAAACTCAGGTCTCCCATATTGCAGGTGGATTCCTTACCAGTTGAGCCACAAGGGAAGCCCAAGAATACTGGAGGGGTAGCCTATCCCTTCTCCAGCAGATCTTCTGGACCCAGGAATTGAACCTGTGTCTCCTGCATTGCAGGCGGATCCTTTACCAACTGAGCTATCAGCCATAGGTATACATATATCCCCTACCTTTTGAACCTCCCTCACCATCCCACCCCTCTAGGTTGACAAAAAGCCCCAGTTCCAGTTTTCTGAGCCATACAGCAGATTCCCCTTGGCTATCTCTTTTACATACGGTAATACGATTTTCCATGTTACTCTCTATACATCTCCCTTCACTCTTAAATGATCATTAGTCTTTACTAGAATTCCTGGGTCACGGTCCATTTTTATTAAAACCTTGAGTCATTTTTCCTCACCCTCAGACATTTACTGAATGCAGTTTGTATTTCATTCTTTTGAAAACTTTATCTGCCTGGATTACAGGAGTTTCTTTAAACAATCTCTTTCTTACCACCCAGAGTTCTTTTTCTAGCTGGTTTTCATCCTTAACCAACACCTCTGTCCACCCTTCTGTTTTTGTTTTGTTGTTCACCTATAGTGTTGGTTATTTCTTTGAAATTTTAAACTTAACCAAGGTGCATATCCCTTGTCACTTTTGCCTTGAATGTCTGTGTCTTCCTGATCTCGGAAAATTCAGGTGGTTTATTTGCTTTGTGGAGGATTCGGTTTAAGTTTTTAAATGAACAGATTTTCTGTTAGAGCTTTCATACCTCTGGTTTGTTTTCTTTAGAAACCCCTATTCATTAATTCTCCAGGATTAATACTTTTTATGTAGTTTTCTCATCATTTTCATTGCTTTTTTATTCTCTGTTCCAGGATTGCTTTTCAAATCTGTCACTAATCTTGATTTCACTTTATTTAAAACCTGTTTCTTACTGCTTCCAACCTGGACTCCATCTTGGCTACTGCATTTTTGGTTACATTGCACTTTTAAAGCTATTCCTTGTCATAGCCTGTTTAATGATGATAAGGGCCACTAGTCTTTATTTTTAATTGAAGTTACCTTTTTAATGAGCAGTACACAGGTAGACTGGAAAAGGGAAGCAAAAGAAGAAAAATATAACTCATCCACAATCCCACCACTCAGGAGTGTGTGTGCTAAGTCATTTCAGTAGGCTCTGACTCTGCAGCCCCCTGGACTGTAGCCCACCAGGCTCCTCTGTCACTGGGATTTCCCAGGCGAGAACACTGGAGTGGGTTGCCGTTCCCTTCTCCAGGGGATCTTCCCCACCCAGGGATGGACCCAAGTCTCTTGCATTGGCAGGCAAGCTCTTTACCACCAGCGGCACCTGGGACGCCCTCGGGAGTAACCACAATTAAAATTTTGATGACAATCTGGAGACCTTTCTCTAGAAGTATAAAAGAATGGATCACACTGCTTTTACACTTACTCTTTCACCATCTTTTTTTGTTAAAAACATGAATCAGAACTTCTATTTCAGAGGAAAGTTTTTCTTCTGCTTTCTTGAGCATGTTAGAATTACATGGGAGCTTTCAATAAAAGTATTGACACTTGTCCTCAGCACTCCCTCTTGCTCCTGTATTCAGATGTAACTTCTGGCCTAGGACCAAAGCGTCAACAGTTCTAAAGGGCGTCCTTCCCTGGTGTTTCTAATGCAGTCAGAGCTGAGAGCCCAGCCAGGGTGCACAATAGGGACTTTGGGGAGGAGGTTCTGTTTTTGTGTCTCGTTTGGTTTTCAGCGGGCTGATCACCCAGCACAGCTGTTTCATTTTACTGCCAAGGGAGTGGCTGGGCCTATCCAACAAGGAATC